CGTGCATCATCCTATGCAATACTCCAATAAGAAATGGTTGTTCTAGCCAAGTGACACAAGCAAAAATTGTGTCAAACTAGCGTCCAAAAAAATCAATGAAAAATAACCTTACGATAAAGGTCAACACATGTTTGCTTTCAACAGTCTGAAACTAGCCAAGAGGTCCAAGAGGTCGGATTACAATTCTACCAAATTATGTACTCAACACAAAATAAGGGTCACTCTACCGAAAAATGCCAAACTAAAGCCAAAATCTTAGCAGCTAGCTTTCTAAAGAAAAGCAAATCAATGTGACAATTCCTCACGGAGTATTAGCTTGTTCATCATAATTAATTTGCAATTAATATTATGTAAAAATAAAATCTTGCATGGATGTATGGAACTTAGAGCATCATTATTGATGATCTCTGTTGGGTATCATTAGATATAAAATTATTAAAACACACATTCTCTCTTCCTTTTACTCAACTTTATACATTCTCTTTCATCTTTTATTCAACTTTTATTAATTTTATATTTAAACACACCCCAACTAAAGTTTAAACTCTCTCCAAAAGTATCAATCCATTGATACTTTTGACACTCTCTCTTTAAAAGTATCAACTCATCTCCTCTTTTTACTCAAATTTTATTAATTTTATATTTCAATACACTCCATTATTTCAACCAAAAACACTTTCTTTCTTCCTTTTACTCAAATTTTAATAATTTTATATCTAATGATACCCACAAAATCTCATCAATAATGATGCTCATAAGCTATAATAAAACATGTCATACATCAAATCAGATTTTCAAATAATACAACTATTAATTATATTCTTACAATTATTTACATATTTATTACCTAAAATTTAATTATGATTTTTGGTTAATCTCTTCAATTTTTCTTTATTTCATTCCATAAAATTAGGCATATCTCGATCGAGTAAAAGGTTGTACTCTAATTCATTATTGAAAAATTAGGTATGATAGTCATTTAATGCAATTAAATTAGGGAAATAACTACCCAATTTAAACAATTAGATCACTACTAATTGATGTATGAGAGAAGTCAATTCTATCATTGTTCCTTCTTCTTCAACTAATCTTGCATGTAAAACTGCACTCTTACGTCTCAGTCGCTGTCAACATAATTGTCGTCGGATTTCTCCTATTCGCCGATTTTTTCTATTCGTTGGAACTGCTCTCTCATCAAAATTGTCATTATATCTTTTTCCTTTTATATTTCCATATTTTTTACTCTTTCCTTTCAATTGCAGGCGTTCTTCGTTTTTAATCTCATCAGTTTTTTCTAACTTGCCGATTAAATTTTGTTTTTTCGTCGATAATTTTGTCGAATATCTTAAAGTAAACAACAATATTGAAAATGTCGCCGTGTAATATATAGAAATGGATAAAATAATCCTCACAATAGACATAATATTGGCTACTTTAAGTTCCG